GCCTATTGGCACAGTTTTGTGAACTGTCTGTCCAAGTCTTTTGCCCATTTTTATTGATGATGTCATTGTTGGTTTTAACTTATATTGTAGTTCATTATATAGCTGGATGGGAGTCAAGTCAGATAGATGTATTGTAAATATACATTCATGTATAGGAAAATAAAATTTGTTTTTTCTTAATCCTTACCCAAGGATATTTTTTCCATTGGTTTTTAGAGAGAGTGGAAGGGAGGGAGAGAGAAAAAGAGAGAGAAAGAAACATCGATGTGAGAGAGACACATTGATTGGATGCCTCCCACAGGTGCCCCATCCGGGGCCGGGGATCGAACCTGCAACCTGGGTATGTGCCCTTGACCTCTGGTGCATGGGCCGATGCTCTAACACTGGCCAGAGTGGAAAATGAAATTTAAAAATATTATTTATAGTAGCATCAAAAATGTCACACTCTAAGAATAAATCTAATGAAAGGTATGAAACACCTTTACACAGAAAACTATATAACATTGCTGAGAGAAATTGAAGAAGACTTATGTAAATGGAAAGTATACTTTGTTCACACATTAGAAGACCTGGTGTTGGTGAGATTTCGGTTCTACCCAGATTGATCCACAGAGTCAGTGCAATCCCAGTCAATATCCTATCCACCTTTTTTAGAAATTAGTAAGTTGATTCTAAAATGTATATAGTAGAAACACAAAGGATCTAGAATACCCAAAAAATCTTCTCAAGAAGAACAAAGGTGGAGGACTTACACTGCTAATACTACTCAATTTAAAGACTTACTATAAAGCTGCATTAATCAAAACAGTGTGGCCTTGGCATAAAGATAGATCAGTGAGGCGGAACAGAGTTCAGAAATACACCTATGCACATACTGCTAGTTGATTTTTACATGCAATGCAAAACTCAGTGGGGGAAAGGAAAGTCTTTTTCACCAATGATTGTGGATCAACTGGATGTTCAAGTGGATTTGGGATGGTTCATAAACTTAAATGTAAAAGCTAGAACCATACAGCTTCTATGTGAGAACATCAGAGAGAATTTTGGCATACACACTAATCACTAAGGGAAAACAGATGTGCTAGGAAAGTGGCGAGGCAAGCCACAGACTGGGAGATGATATTCAGAGTACGTGTTCTTAATGTTTTACTCTTTCCAAAAGTACTTCAGCATTGTTCGGGTCCATGCATCTTGTTATATCCTGTATTGACTATTTTGGGGGTTAATGTTAGATAAGGGACATTGTACCAGGGGACTGACTGGATTCTCCTTATTTCATCCTCTTGTGAATGTCAATTTCTGTGTCCGCTTTGCCCACCATACAGTGACTGCTTACAATAAACACAGTAGGTCTTAGATCACATTAGTCCTCGTAAATTATTTAGGTGTGAGGTGAAGCCAAAGGCAATACCAGGAGTCTCTCCTTTGGAAGGGACTAGCCTGTGAGACTTCTTGGTTATGAGGCCTGGTGTTTCATTAATTAATTAATTAAAAAAAATTTTTTATTGATTTCAGGTAGGGAGAGGTAGGGAGAGGGAGGTAGGGAGAGGGGGAGAGAGAGAAACATCAGTGATGAGAGAGTGATTGATCTGCTGCCTCCTGCACACCCCCTATTGGGGATCGAGCCTGCAACCTGGGCATGTGCCCTGACTGGGAAGTGAACCTCAATCTCCTGGATCCTAGGTTGATGCTCAACTGCTGAGCTACGCTGGCTGGGTGAGGCCCAGTGTTTTAGGTGAGTCAACAGTTAGGCCTTGCACATCTACTTAGGAATGTGGCAAGAAGCTTTCAAGAGCTCACAAGAGGGGAAACAAATCCAAACTCTGTTTAGGTATAGAGTCTATTGCCCTGCTTCCTGGCTTTCATTTCTAAACCAAGCATAAAACCTACAGGAAAATAGAAACTAAAAAATGAAACAAAAGATGTAGAAGAACAACAATAAAATTTAAAATTTGAGGTAGAATGATATCTTAAAGACCATAGCAGAATGCAGAAAAAATCCCAAACTTGAGAACAAATGCTAAGAATGTTCAGTTGATTTTTGCAGTTGCATTTTATATGGATATGCATATATACGCACACATACATATATAGACACGTATACATGCACACATACGTACACATGCATACCTGCATATACACACATACGTACACATACACAGTACAACCACACATACACACATACACATACACACGCACACATATACATACATCCCTACGTACACATACATATCTACATAATACCCATACATATATACACAATACATAATATATACATAGCGGTGGGCAAAAGTAGGTTTACAGTTATGAGGGCAAGAGACACAGGCGAGAAACACTGGGAAGTAGGACTCACGGGACTGGTGGTCAGATGCGCTTGTCTGCCCCGATGCGTCTCCCCACCATGTCCAGTGTACTGATGAGGTCAGTCCCAGGCTCCTGCCAGGCTCTGTGTGACCTGAGCCTGCTTCTCTCTCCAACCTCTTGCCTGGTTTCTCCTGCTTCCTACTGCTCTCCAGCCCCCTGCCTACTTTCTGCCACTGGGAGACTCCAAGGCCATTCCCATGCTAGAGTGTTTCTGTTGGTTGGTTGTCCTGCCGGCAGGCCCTTTGCACAGTGACCCTCTCCATTCTCTAGGGCTCAGCTGGGCCATCCCCTTTCCAGAGAGGTCTTCCCTTTCCCCTCCTCTCAGGAAGATCCCTTTATTTGCCATGTTACTCATGCCCTTCATTGGTCATAATCTCGTATTGATCCTTGCCTCTGGCTCTTTCCCGTCTTGGTCACCACTCTATCCCCAGGGCCTGGCACTGAGCAGATGATAAATACTGCTTGACTGAGTCAGTGGTCTGAGATGGACTGATACTACAGAGTCGAGAGGAATAGACTTTGCTCAGTGCGATCCACCAGGGCAGTAATAGTCAACGAGGCCGCTCGGGGGGAGGCCAGCTGGTCAGCTTCCCAGCAGGTGCTTCGCAGTGGAGTGAGTGGCTCGCTGCCCTGGATTCTTGTGCTGGATGTTGGAGGTGACTAGATCATTTCCAAGGCCCCTTCCAACCCTTTAACTGTTTGATGGTGTTCTCATCACTGGGCTAATGTTCTTCCTTCAACACAGAATGGCATTGACCACTAGATGGCTCCTGTGAAATCTGTTCATCAAACTCAGTGAGAAAACTTATTTCCCCCTACACAGATGTGAAACAAAAGCTTCACAAAAGTCTGATCCCATACAATGTGTAATGCACACCAGTGTTTTCTGTTTTACTCTATTCTACATTTAAAAAAAATTTATTTTATTTTTGTTAATCCTTACCTGAGGATATTTTTTCTATTGATTTAGAGAGAGGGAGAGAGTGTGGGGGAGAGAGAGAGACATCGATGTGCGAGAGATACATCGGTTTTCTCACTGGGGCCCTGCCGGGGCCAGGGGTCGAAACTGAAACCCAGGTATGAGCCCTTGACTCTTTGGTGCGCAGGCCAACGTTCTACCACTTAGCCACACCTGCCAGGGTTTTACTTCATTTTTTTTTTTTTTAAATATGTCTTTATTGATTTCAGATAGAGGAAGGGAGAGGGTGAGAGAGAGATAGAAACATCAATGATGAGAGCGTTATTGATCGGCTGCCTCCTGCATGCAAGCCTGCAACCTGGGCATGTGCCCTGATGGGGAATCGAACCACGATCTCCTGGATCCTAGGTTGACCATCGACTCCTGAGCTGCGCCCAGTTGGACATCTACTTCATTTTTTAAATGCAGGTTTTCAGGCTGTTCCGTTGATTTCATGATATTGATGGGTCATAACTCACTGTTCGTAAAATGCTCTTTTGGGCTCCTGAGCCAGTTTACTCTTGTAATACTCTGGTTTCTTTGGACAGTCCGGCTTATAGCAAGTGGTGTTTGTAGGGAGCACTTAGTATGTTTCTGTGTTGAGTGGCTGCATTGAGTAGTGATCACAGCTGTTTTCTTATAAGTGTCTGTGGTGGTGTAAACATAAATGCTAGATACTGTGGGGGTTAGGGTACCTATTGCAGTCAGGGCTGCAGTAAGCCTTGTCAGTAGATATAAAGAAAAGAAGAGACAGTATCTGCTTCTGGGAGCTCAGAACCTATCTGGGAGACATCACCCCCCCCCCCTTAGGTTTCAGCTTACTTATTGAGCAACATGGAAATGAGTGCATTACTCGGACATTAGGTAAGATGCTTTAGGCTGAAAGCAACAGAAGCCTGGCTCAAGTTGGCTCCAAGGATGAAGACATTTACTGTCTCACAGAATGTCCTTTGAGTGGTAGAACAGGCTCCAGGCCCACAGTGGGATGGCATGGCCTCGTCAGTGGTCCGAAGGCTGGTACCACTCATGGTTGCCGGAAGACTTCCAGTGTAACCCGCCCGGGCTTCAGCTCCTGGACTTGGAACACTGGAGATTTAACTCCTTGTGGTGTAGACTGGGGTACAGAGAGTTTAGGCTACTATAGCATTTTGCAGGTTGTAGTTGTTTTGTTTGTTCCTGGTCTCCCCACTTGAACCCCCTTAAGGAATGTGAAGTGACTGGATCCAGATATAGAGTGAGGACAAAACTTAGGTTGTCACTAGTGATGTTTGCCAAATGTTTCTGAACTTCCTTTCTTTGCGACACAGAATTTTTTGGCTCTCTGACTAAAAGCTTTAGCCAGTGAGTTTGCTGAGTGAGTAAATTGTTGTAAGTCCTGTATAGATGATGGGATGAGGTTGTTTGCTGTTTAGGGTTCTGGGAGAGGAATTAGTGATAAGAGGAAAGACCGAGGTGAGTAATGGTCCTGTGGGAGCGTGATGGGCAGTCTGTGTAATAGAAAGGTGGATGGGTGAGTCTGTTTAAATGTGTAGCAGAGCACTGAATGTGCATTTGGTGGCCTTTGAGGTCGATACTTTTCTTCTGGATCCTTGACCTGGTTCCTGGGGACATGGCCACGAACCTTGGCCAGAATATACACTAATCTTTACTCACACGCCTTTTCTTTCATTCCTTTCAGGTTTGCAGTGAGCATTGGCTACTGGGACGACCCTTACATCCAGCATCTTGTGAGGCTGTCTAAAGAGAGGAAGGCTCCTGAAATTAACAGAGGCAAGCGACCCTCTTCTCCCCAACAACTCCTTGTCAGCTGAGTGGCCTGAAGTTTTAGGGATTTATTCTTAAAAGGAGTTCCAGTATGCACTGTCTCCAACAGTATATGAAAGTGCTCATTTCCCAACATCCTCACCAACACACCATATTAAGAAACTTCCAATTAAGAAATTATTTTTATTTTTAAAACAGCTTTTATTGTGGAAAATTTCAAACCGTGCAAAGGTGGAATCAAATGTGGATCAGTTTCAGTAATTATCAAATTTTGGCCATCAGTGTGAAACTTTTTTTAAAAAATATATTTTTATTGATTTCATAGGAAGGGAGAGGGAGAGAGAGATAGAAACATCAATGATGAGAGAGAGTCATTGATCTGCCAACTCCTGCCCCCCTCCACCCCCCGGGGACTGAGCTCGTAACCTGGTCATGTGCCCTGACTGGGAATCGAACTTTGATCTCTTGGTCTCACACCATCCCGGCCAGTGTGAAACTTTTTAATCTTTGTTAATCTGATACTGAGAAGTGGTATATTAGAGAAGTTTTATTTTTATTCCTTTTCCGGGTAAGTTCGGAGATCATTTTCACATGTTGAAAAGCCATTTATATATCTTTCACTGTGAAGTGTCTGCTCGCCTAAGGCATGACTTTTTGTTGCCTTATTGCATGATTGGTGAAACCATTAGGCTCTTTAAGTACTTTCTATCAGGGAAGTCAAAGGACTTGACAGGCCCGACCTTGTCTCAGCCAGACTGAGAAATTAACCAAGTGATGACCATTGCTGTGTGTACCGGGAGTCCTGGCCCTGAAGACTGGATCCTGGAGGGGTGTCTGTAAGAAAAGCAAAGACATTTGAAAATGGGCCTTTCTGAGAATAACGGCATGGTATTTACTTGGAGCTGAGGGTGAAACAGGCATTAGTAAGCTTGAGCAGAGCCTGGCCAAGAGGTCTTCAGCTTCCCCCCTGTGCGCCTCCCTCCTCCTCCTCTCTCTGGCTCTGAATCTCTAGTTTGGGGACCTACACCCCACTAGGAGAGTGCTTCCCAAACAGCGTGTGGTAAGGCTATGTATTTTTCCAATACCCAATCCATTGAAACAATTTACTAGAGAAATAAATGAAGAAGACATACAAAATATAAGTGCAAATGATGAGTAGATTCCACAGGCATAAAAATCCTGTGAAGCTGCAATAAAAGTTTCTAAATGCTCCTCTCAAATTTGGTTCTTAAAACACTCACACTCTGAGCAGCAGGGCTCCTGAGCGCGGGCAGATCCATCCTTCCTTCCTTCCTTCCTTCCTTCCTTCCTTCCTTCCTTCCTTCCTTCCTTCCTTCCTTCCT